ATATCGACTAGTATGTGAGCCAAACTGTTCTTGTGAGCGCTGTTATGTGGGTGGGTGGCAGCAGCCACGACGCTGCCCGTTCTGAGAGCCAGGCCGAGCTCCAATCCCACAGAATTTCGCCTCACCCTCTTCACTCTTCAGTATGAGTTCATCGGCTTTCATAATCCACACCATCCCATAACGCCACATCGTTCGTACCTCCCTGGCTGAGAGGCTCTTCAGCTGCAATGATCGTTGCACCCGGTATTGGGTCACTCCGACGTCTGTCGATGCTCTGCGGCGCATAGGAGGTCTCCGGCGTTCTGTAGGCCGTGCAATTCAACAGACTGAGCCATGTGGAACACGGGTTCAAACGACATGGTCATCTAATCCCTGGTAGTCCTAGTCACTTTTGGGCAAGAGTGGAAACGAAAGCTGCGCCAGCAGGATTGTGGATGTAGGTCGATCCGTATCATTATTGCTCGAGCCGCCCTCACATGTACAACACACTGAACGCAGGAGGATGGGACGACAACATTGATGATTGGGTATATGCTACTCATTATCAGAACTCGGCTGACATCCGAACTGTGTTTTCTTACCAGGAGTAGTGCTGAGCACGTTCGGAAGTTGTCCTTGTTGATAAGATACAGAACCCTTGTGAACTGGCCCGCTGTTCGATGACTCGCAAGACGCAAACAAGGGACTGGGTGAGGTAGCCTCGTCGATATCGGTGGGCGTACTCTGTAGGGGTCGCTGATCCATGATCGGTCTGGGACCTTTTTGGTGCCGGAGCTGTCCTTCAATCAACCTTCACATGAAAAGACCACATACGATGGATGAAGATTCTCTTTCAGCTTTATCACGTTTACTTGGTCACAGGTGATCAGCTTTTGCGCCTATTAACCGTGTAGCTCAAGGAGCCGCCGTATGATCCCACGGGATTAACCCCCTGTTGCGGTTCCGACAGGCGATTGGGCTCCAGTAAGAAGGCAATGCCGCAATCTCACGCGTATAAACCTGTTATTACTCGATTGGGCAGAGAGTGCATGAACAGGATTCCATCCATCGCGGGTTCTCTTTCCAGCACCAGCATGGCACCGCTAGCTCGCCACGGTGTCGTGGGCGGCCGCACAAGGGCTTACTGGAAGGATTGCTAGGCATGAAAAAGGATTCCGAAGACTTCATCCCTTTGTTTAGCTTCTTAGTGATCAACAACACTTTTTGGATATGCCATCTTGCACGCCAACATTACCCACAGTAGCGTGGTCCCAAACCGCCTCACTTCTAGTGTTAGCCCAGCAGTTCAAGCTCTGGCCAACCTCTGCATTGTTTTCCCGGCCTCCTCAAGGCCTCCCTTCAAGACCATCATCCAGCACCTACTATGGTAGTTCAGAGCCGTTTCTACGCCTCAGTGTTCATGTTCCAACTTGGTTCGCAACATCGAACTTCACTGTCAAGGCATCACAACTCATCCCCCCTTCTCCTCGCACGACCTTGCGCACCTGTCGTCCCCTTTGTATCCCTCACTGCACACCCAAAACTTCCATAACTCCCGACATCACCGCCGTTATACCTCAAAACCTGCGGATACCTACAGACTGGCCTACTCGCCTGTGGGTCAGCCGCCGTAGACGTCCCATTAGGCAGCTTGTACCCGATCAGCACATCAGGCGCGATCCCGCCCTCAACCCACCTCGTCAGTGCAGCTAGGGCCCTCAGGGGGTAGTACGCGCCGGCCGCAGCGGCACAATGATTCACCCCAGGCGCCTCGAAGTGCCGAAAGTAATCGCTCGCATTTCCATCTCCCGCCAAAACGCGGTCGTAGTACAGCCTGCTGCCGCGCATGGTGATGCACTCATCCGCCAGCCCATGCCACGTCAGCAACTTCTTGTTCAGCGCCCTGAACCTCGACAGATCCGGATCGTTAGCCGCGATTATCGGCCCCAGCTGCTGCCGGCTCAGGTAATAGTTCGTCTCCAGCTCCGTGAGCGTCATCTTCGTGACATCGTACCCCGGATCCCGTCGTGTGAAATTCTTTAGCCAGTCCACCGCCATCGGAAACGGCACGCCTGTACAGTTACTGACTCCATCGGAACACTTGGTATTAGCTAAGGCCAGCACGCCCGTAAACGGCGTCCCGTGCGCCGTGCCGACCCAGAGCGGTTTTCCGTCTGCACCGGTCGGTCCGTCGCGGATGGCGCGCACGATGCTGGCTGTCTGGGTGGAGATGCGGACCGACGTGCCGTTCCCGCAGTCGACTGTTTGACCCACCACCGTCTGCGGATCAAAATCGCACGCATCAGGGTCGGCGATGAATCCGTCCTTCACACCATCGAGCGCATCACATGCCTCCACGGATAGTCGATTGAGAGCGTCCAGCTCGCACTTGGAAGGGTAGTATCCCAGCCTATCCATCACGCTTTGGGGCCAGTAGGTACTCACAGTCAGGTCTGGCAGGTTGATTGCCGGCGCGCCGGCGAGGATACCGTCGTAATCCTCCGGATATCTTTGGGCCGAAGCGACGCCTTGCCGACCGCCGGTCGAACAGCCATTGAAATAGCTGTACCTGGGAGCTCGACCGTAGTATTGTTGGGTGATGGCTTTGCCTATGAGTGTCATGTCGTGGATGGAAAGAGTGGCGAAGTTGTATAACAATGGGTAGTTGAAATTGCCCTGGCTGTTGAGGACCCACGGGGCGCGGGACCAGGTTTGGCTGTCGTGACCGGCGTCTGTCACGCTGGCTTGGTGGTGTTAGTGAGACTGGCGATAACGTATGGAGAGACATGCTTACCCGCATAGCCCAGGTTCACCGTCGCAGCTAAGTTCTCACCGTTCAACTTGCCCGCCGCAAAGCCGCCTCCGCCAACACCCACGAAGCGCTCATTCCAGCCTTGCAACGGAAGCCATACTTGAACGTTTGTGTTGTCGTTTTGACCCGGATGATGGTATAGTAGCGTGACATTGCAGAAGCTCAGTCCGGATGTAGGAATAAGTGCGCCCTCAGGAGTGGTGGTATTGAGCTTCCAATTTCGAACCGGAGCAGCGTTCAGAGAGACGAACTCAGCTCCGAAAACATCTGGATATCTGAAAGCGCCGGTGGAGCAGTCTTCTATGGCCTGCGACTTGCTGCATAGGCCCAGACACAGGGCGAGCTGCCCAGGCTGCCAGCGAACCATGCTGTGAATGTTGTGTGAGAAACTGATACGCGGTGACAAGTTGCGCCGACAATGCTAACTTCTCAATATCTCGATGTCGTTCCTTTCCCTTTTGTCTGTATGATTACTCCGCATTGAAGGTTACTCTGGGTCGCAGCTACCCCGACATCTTGTTTATCCGGCTCCTTCGACGGGTGCTGTCAAGCAGCGTTCGGTATTTGGGACGGCCAATTAGCTACTCATTTTTTATTGCTTCACCTACCTTTTGCGGTTCGTCCAATCTAAGCAAGCTTTTTCGAGTCCGGCGCAGCTCTGCAAGATCCCGACAGCAGACCTTGAGCGGACGTAACGTCCGACATCACGGGGCCGAGATCCGCCACACATTTTGAACTATTCTCATCCTGCTCATGCATATGTCTTTAACGGGCCCCTGGAGCTGGGAGAACTGCACAGAACCTGGATAGAGATGACGAACCTCGCACCTTTCATTGCATGGCTTATTGGCTTGATACGTGGGTGTGGCATAGATGTCTCCTCCACCAGGTAATATTCTCTAATCCCTGTGCTTTAAGGCAGAATTTGGCAGTGGAGATGTGGTTAGCTAGGTGTGATGTAGATCTGCTGTTTTGTGCACACTGATGCTAATCACTGCATCGAAGGCTAGCACGTATCAGCACGTCAACATGCTGATGCGAATAGACGAACTGCAACTCACACTTCACAGGTCATCACCAAATGCGCGTCCAGACTCCTCGCCACCATCGCACTCAGTCTGCACCTGACTTGGAGCCTTACAAGCGCCTTGGTTCAGTATGAAGTGCTCCGGGACTTTCCCATCCTTGAATGGGAGTTGGAGGGCGGCTGTTTCTTTGTCGGATGGATAGTCGGTATAATGCCCCATGTCCGACATCGTCGGCCGCAACCACTACATTGTTGACGCCCTCCATTATCCAGATGTCGTATGTTCCGTCCAGCGTCCTAACGTGTGCGAGACCAGATAGCAGTATAAACAGCCTGAGCACCTTCAGTCAGATCCTATCAAGCTGTTCGGGGTGCGGGTCACGACTTACATGGGATGCGGCGGCTTGTGGACCCCCTCCTCCGACCGTGGCGGCAGCACGACGTATGTGACGTTTGTTGTATCCGCGAGAGTCAACGCTGCCCCGACCGTGGGATACTTTTGCAGAGGCTCATTGAATCTCCAGCACTCGACCCATGGGTTCGGAAAGCTTGCATTGGAGACGAGTGCCGTTGCTATCAATCTTGTCACGCAATTCGCCTGGCCGAGACTAATTTGAAGGAGACAGAGTACGACTAACAGCTGCATTCTAGTCGTCTAGATTAAACAGGTGTCTGAACTGAACAATCGTCCAATAGAGTGTTTACATTAAGAGCGACGCCATGCCGACAGCATTGAAGTTTTAAGTATACATTTGACCCAGGAACCGCGCCCGCGGCTCGGTGCTGAGCTCCGATCCTTCACTGCTGACCGCCGCATTTTTGTGGACCTGCGGATACGCACGCTTATTGCAGGATAAGCGGTGATTGTGCCGCTGCGTAATCGGAGCGTATGTCTCCTCTCTTGTTTGATGGACCGGACCTTGCTCTGCTTGCACAAAAGGGCGACGAGCTAAAGCGTCATTAGTGCCCTGAAGATCAATACTTGACTTACCCAACTGTGCCAAACCGGGTCCGTATCTGAATCCAAAAACCATTTTGCTTTGGTAACATGACTTGAACGGGAGGTTAAGTTAAGAGGTTGCTCTGCTCTTCCTACCGAATTAGGGCATGAAAGCATTGGACTAGCGGCGGGACTCGCTGAGGGCACACATATGCTGTCACAGCCTCCACCATGGACAGCTGGTCGTGATGTCCGAGTGGTTAAGGAGTGAGACTTGAATAGTAAGTTCGATATCTCATGGGTTCGCCTGCGTAGGTTCAAATCCTGCTCACGACGGTGATATTCTTTTGCCAATTTTCTCTCGTACCCGTGCGATGGTAAGTTGGACATTGATGACGGGATGGAGGGACGATTTGGCGTTGTCGTTTCATCAATGCAAGTCCGTATGTTCTCTTTTTGTCGTTTCCTGTTTCGATCTGTCTCTCCTGCTCCCGCGCCACGGCCATTCAACCTGGCTTTTGTCGTGTTTGATTTGACCTATTTGATGTCATGACTCGCAAAAAGCCAGATAATTATGCCTTCTCCACAGTTCTACATGCTCTAATGCAGGAGCTCTTCCAACGGAATAGTGCCGGCAGCTTCCACAACCCCACGGGTCATCCACAAAATCATCCCTACGGGGACCATGGCGCAGTTGGCTAGCGCGCAGGTCTCATACTCTATATGATCGAGTCGAAATAACGATTCGAGTAATCCTGAGGTCGGGAGTTCGAGCCTCCCTGGTCCCATTTTTCGTTTTTATTTTGCAATTTTACTACTGTAAAGGCTGTCGCTTGATAATCTTGTATAGGAAGAGATGCCGAGGAAATAAAGGGGGAAGGAGTTGTCGACATAAAACCTAGAGTAAAATGTGCTCGCTTGGATATAACTAGCCGACTTGCTAAAAACGACCAACTCGGTAGGAGTGCTTTTCTAGAATATGAGGAAGCACACTGCTGTCTACCACTGCCTTGTCCTTTTTATCCTGCACAGCGGCTGCTCTTGCCCTATGAAGTAATAGAGAACGGAAGCTTGTCATCTTGACATCACCTTGCTAGACACATTCTGCACGGGTTTCCTCGCATACTCCTCCCTCGCAACAGCCTTTGCTAGGAAGGGGTCTTTCTCATCGAACAAGACATACTCCAGACCGACACTTGGGACTATAGAGGCAATTATGATCATTCAAATTGGGAAGAACATGGCAAATCAAGCCATGATTTCTGATTGCTCAAATGAGTCAAGGCTCTCTCTATATAACTTCGGTGTTCCATTCTTTACAATGGACGCTTTCTAGGACGTTTCACGCCAGAGATGTGAAGCATCCGCATGGCTTAGCGCTGGTGACGATGGAGGCGACATTCACGGTCCAGGGTCTAGACGGTATATTTGTCCGAGCTCCCTTGGAATGTGGTCGTGTCCTGAGGCGGGCCGCTTGCTCAATTGCATCTCGTCCAGAGCTGGCATGGGTGTGGTCGATATGTAGTACCAGCAATTGAACCCTCGGGGTCATCCATCGCCTTGGTTGCGGTCTATAGTGTCGACTTCAAGGCCCACCACGTCATGTCACGCTAGTTCCAATGTCCATTCGCACTGCAATTGTGCTCCTGGACATGACTCTGTATCAAGAGGAGCGGTTCGCTGACCGGACTCTTCTCTGACATTCCTTTGACAACCGGGACAGACATACTGATTAACTGTCCATTGCCGGTGGTCGAGAAGCTACCGAATAACGTCGGGGGGATCTACAAAGGAATGTTTTCACGATGGTAGGGAAAATCATTCGAATGTCATCTTCCTTGCCACTATAGTTCCCAATGTTATATGCTTAGTTAAATGTATCTGTGGGGTTTGCATACTCTGTCAAGACGTCGACCCGATTCACATGGGGAGCTTATACATCACGAGCAAGGGATCAGCCATAGTGACTGCTTTCATTCCAGAAGGACAATATTATTACTATTGTGACGCTATTTTTTCACCCATTCCCAAACATAAGAAAATATTACTACAGTTGAAAACAACACAATCGAGCAACCGCTTACCGCTACCACCTTCCCCAAGTATTCAACCCTTGGTGATCAACGGCGTGTCCGCGCCTCCTATCGATCCTCCATATGCCGACTTACCAGTTTGAGTCTCTCCTTTGCTTCGATTTGCGTGTACAGCAAGGCATAGTACAGCAAGCACACCTGTGCATCAACAGTCTCAACGACGCCCGGGTTGCGCAACCATTGGACATCAACATGCTGACCAGTATAGAGCCTCCACATGACGCGAACAATCATATGAGCGTACTGATGAACCACGTCGTACGGGTCATCTCCAGACCAGAAGCCGAAGGGTTGGCCGTTATAGTGTCTGAGAACGTTATAAGTATCCACCGAAGACATCGACGCAGTTTCTGGGTCAAGGCCACATACCTGTGCCTCTAGCCGCTTCCATACAAGACGATACTCTGGCGTCTCGACTTCGCCATCCCTGCTACCGCGGTAAGAGTTTTTGAAGACCTCGAGCTCCTCGTGCAAGATCTGCCAGGAGAGTAGGCTCATCAAACGCGCGGTGTGGTCCATGAGGTACATGCCTTTTGCGAGTTTCCCGAGGACTTTGTCAAAAGGCTTCTCTTGAAGAGTCTTTTTGACTAGTCGTCGTACAAGCTTTTTCAATCGTTCATGGTCTCTATTGGTCAGAGAGTTGTCGAGCCATTTGTTCGTGTATTCCTTCAGAGTGCTCTGCTCTACATCATACGTTACCTCTTCGGCCCTCTTTTCTTGGAGCTGCGCTCTGGCCTCCTTTAGCAATTCCGGATGAAACTTGGATAAGTCGACTTGCTTCCTCTCCTTTCTGAATGAAGACAGTCTTTTAAGGAACCCCATCGTTCTGCGTGTTCGTTTCTGTGGTCTTGGGTGACAAAAGTTTGGGCGCGCAGAGGAGTATGCGAGAACGGCAAGGTTGATGCGTTACCTTCTTCTCTAAGATAGCTTGCAGATAGGTTTAATGACAAGAAAAGATGTCAGGAACGGTAAAAGAGGTCTTGCTTGAGAGTATGTAGAGAACTGCTGATGAGATTTTAACAGAATAGAAGATAGGGCCAGGGGTAAAGGATGTAGGTCAAGATATACGAACAGTACGGTGTCAACACTTCACATTTGTTCTTTATTCCACCCAGGCAGCATCTTTATTTCCAAAAGAACAGACCCTGATTCAATATATTCGTTGTTCTATCGTCGTATTCACTCTGTTGTCAGTGTCAGGAAAGCAGAGGGACAACGAGTTCCCAAGAAACACAGCAGCTTTGTGGGTACCAGCTTCCTTTGATCCATTCCTCAAGCCCATACAGATGCCGAGGATCATACGGCAACAAGTTTTGAAGCAGTTGTTATGTTATGTAATGCATGGTATGGCTATATCATACCAAGAGCACCCCCTGGGTCTTGTGCACGAGACCAGGTCACAGTACAACTCTACAGGTCTGGAGATTAATACGAGAAGCGGCAGCTACGATCCATTGTGCAATTCAGGCCTGTCAGTGGAACCACCTTCCAGCGCCTTCTATCGACCTCCTATCGACGAGTTTCGAGCCCGTTTGATGACATGTTATCCACGACAACGGTAACTAATATGGTCCGAAACATTCCTTCTTTGTCTTCCATCGGCTTCCGCAAAATTGCTCTTACGTCACCCTGTTGTGACGACAGCTCTGCTTGACAACGGTCAACGCTTGGCTCGCTGTCTGAATAACATCTTACCAACCTACCCTGATATCAAGCCATAACTCTAACCTGGGTGGTCGGTTTATTAACATTATTCCAGCAATGATACGTGTCACTTGGTCGGGACAGTTTTCGTATCTCACGAATACGCGCAAGAACTATTCTCAACATGTGGAATTGGCCTAATCTGCTGGCGAATGTGATATCAATTAAACTTAGACCCGAACCCTGGTCAGTTTGATCATGACAAGAGTCTATGCAACCGATACTAAGAGATATTTTAGGTCATAGAGTCTCACATATTTCTTCAGATACGACAACGACAAAATATATATCATGAGGTCCTATTGAGAGTCGTACCTTTAGTAATACCGAGTAGCGACTCGAGAGTAAGCTTGTGCCATATTACACCTTGGCCGTGGTCCATACCATGTAGTCGTCTGTAAAGATTGTGCATATGCTGGGCAAGGCGAGGAGTACGCTTCACGGAAAGCGAGGTCGGTCGGCATTGGCTGGGTGAATGGTGAGAAGCCAAGTAAATTGTGGCTTGTAAGACAACAACAACCAATGACAGTAGGCCTCTAAAGCTAGCTTGACTTGGTCACAAGCAGACCAACACCGTGTTAGCCCTCGTGTATCGTCATTTAGAGTTAATCTCTCGACCACCTGCAACTCTGTTTGATCGCCGGCTTTAAGTCAACGGCGGCAAGGGTGATTGTTCCGGCTCCGTTATCGAACGCAACACCGGAAGCCGGAAGAAAATCAGCTCCGTGTCAGGAAAAGGGCGTGAAAGATGATTGGCAAATGAGCGGCAATCACGTCAAAAAACGCGCCTCAGCATAAATCCGAGGTTCAACCCCGATGCCGGCCTAGCGCAACGCCGGAGTGCCTTGAGGTTTATTTACCGTCTCCGTCATCCTCATTTCCCATGTACACTACCTCTGCCTCAGCATCATCAATAAGAAGAGACATTACGTGTCCGGAAAAGGAACCTTCGCCCATTAATCCGCAAATCGAATAGACCCACAATGTCCGCCTCAGACGAGGGACTGCCGGTGAGCTGCCAATGCGGCAATATCAGCTTCCGCACCCCATCGTCAAAACCTATTAGTATGGCGCACTGCCACTGCACCGACTGCAGAAAGCAGAGCACCTCCGCCTTCGGAACGTCAGCACACTGGCCAACAAACAAGGTATTACCGCTATCGCCAGAACTGGAGCAGAAACTCGCCGTGTTCACGCATCCGACCGACAGCGGCAACACAAAGTACTGCTATTTCTGCCCAAAATGCGGCATACGCGTCTTACACGTGTCTCACCTCCCGGACGGGACGTTGCGAGAGACAGTGGCTTTCAGGGGCGGTTGTGTGGAGGGTTTGGATTGGACCGGGGTCAAGCACATCTACACAAGGTCAGCGGTCATGAAGATTCCAGAGGACTGGGAGCAATATGAGACTTTTCCTGGAGACAAGACGAAGAAGGTCTGACCTGATGATGGATTGGACATGGATATGGCTCGCACTCATGGAGAGAAGACCAGCATGTTTACATCTCTGAAACTGTGATCTTCAACCTTACTCAGTC